AACCATCTCATCCTTTGCCGTCCCCGTCTTCTTTGACCTTCAATCTTTCCCAGCATCAGGGTTTTCTCCAGTGAGTGCAAACATGTCTTTCAAATGCCGGGAAAGATGCCTGGCTTTAAAGTTTGATGCGAACGTATCAAGCAAGCTAGTACTGTGAAAGGGTCATTATGGCTCCTGATTCTGCCACTTTCTCCAGATACTTGGTGACATATCTCTGCAGGTCTGCTATTGGTTCACTGACTTCAGCCTTTGAGAAGTTCCTGGTGGTGATGCACTGTGCTAAAACTGATGCTGCTTTTGGAAGAGCAGTTCTTCAGAGCCTGTTTCTTCAAGACGACCTGCAGATAACATCAGGTACATGGCTCCCTAGTCATCAAATCACCGCAGACTGTGACTGCAGCCATGAAATTAAAAGACGCCTGCTCCTTGGGAGGAAAGCGATGGCGAACCTAAACAGCATGATAAAAAGTAGAGACATCACCCTGCCAACAAAAATACGCATGGTCCAAGCAATGGTATTCCCAGTAGTCATGTATGGCTGCGAGAGTTGGACTATAAGGAAGGCCGAGCGCCGAAGAATAGATTCTTTTGAACTATGGTGCTGGAGAAGACTCTTGAGAGTCCCTTGGACTGCAAGAAGATCAAATCAGTCAATCCTAAAAGAAATCAACCCTGACTGTTCCCTGGAAGGCCAGATACTGAAGCTGAAGCTCAAATACTTTGGCCACCCAATGAGAAGGGAGCACTCCCTGGAGAAGACCCTGATGCTGGGAAAGATTGAAGGTCAAAGAAGACGGGGACGGCAAAGGATGAGATGGTTAGACAGTGTCATCGATGCAACGAACATGAAATTGAGCCAACTTCAGAGGACGGCGGAAGACAGGAGGGCCTGGCGGGAGATGATCCATGGGGTCGCGAAGAGTCGGACTCGACTGTGCGACTGAACAACAACAACAAATGGAGTAGGGGGAAAATAAATTGGTAATATGATGTGATTAGTGAGATAGAATGATTATAAAGGATTAGTGCATTGGTAAGCGATTGGGGGAAAGTGTTGATATCTCTATTTAGAATTAATTAGCTGGATGGATTGTCTGAAATTTATTGTCTTATGAAATGAAATATTGGTATGTTTATTTAAACCCATATATTTATAAATGTGAGGACTTTCTTTTTTTTTCCAGGGGAAAGGGTAAATGTATTACTTATGATTAGAATATGTTTAAGTTGTTTAATTTATTTAATCTATTTGAATAAATTGACTAAGGGATGAATGTACAATCAAGGGATAAAAAATTGAATAGAATTGATGTAAATAGGTTTAGTGTTATTTATTGTAGGAGATTTTAAAAGGTTAGTCATGAGCATATGGAGTATATGGAATGGTTAAAAGAAAAAGTTGAAAAGCTCCAAATAAATTATTAGTAAAATATTAAAACATCAAATAGAGAGGAAAAATTAAAAAAAATTCCAAACCCCTATATTGAATACACAGAATTGACAAGATACGGAGCTGGGATAAGAGCTGGAAATTGACTTACACTTAATTAACCTCAAGAGGCTAAAGGAATAAAGAGGTTTAGTCAACGCAGACTGGATGGAAAACTCAGTTAGTGAAGGAACGATGATTATATTAATCTGTGTTGTATAGAAAATAAGTGTGGTATACGGTATGGACATATGGGTAAATGTGCTGCTGATCCTGTCTAAGTGTATAATAAGGGCTTAATCGATGTAGGGAAGTGTGTTTGTTGTTGTTATATGTGTGTGTTTGTTGTCTAATGTATAAAAACCTAATAAATATACTTTAAAAAAAAAGAAATGGTGGAAGTCACTGCTAGTGGATATAGTAACGGCTAGGAGCATAGATGGCTTGAGAACAGGATAAGGATGGAAACATGGAGGACAGGTCCATCAATGGCTACTATACTAGCCAGGAGACAGTGTCAGGCAGGTTTTGGCCTCACCCTTAGCTCTGTCTGTTGCCCCTCGAGAGCAACTGGTTGACCACTACGTGAAATAGTATGCTGGACTAGAGGAATCACTGATCTGATTCAGCATGGCTGTTCTTATGTTTTTACTGGTTGACTACCATTCCAGAAGCAGCCATGCTTATTCTTGTTGGGCTTCTTCTTCCTTGATTACAAAGGGGCAGCTGTGTTGGTCTGCTGTAGTAAAGTAAAGCAAAAGCCCAGTGGCACCCTAAAGACTAACGTATTTTCATATGAGCTTTTGTGAGTCAGACAAGTGGATGGAGATCAAACTGGACACTCTACTTAAGGGGAAGATTACAAATGTCCGAGTGGGGTTGAGACCAGCTTCATGTGAATTCCATCATGAGTCTCTCAAGTGCATATTCTCTGTGGAAGTGACCAGAACAAGACTGCCAGTAACCGCTAGATTTGAGTCCAGTAAGACACCAACAGGATTTTTTTTGGGGGGGGGGGGGTATAAGCTTCCCAGAGTCAAAACTCCCTTTGTCAAACTGATAAGTAAGGTGCCATCCTCCTTCCCACAGTGGGCGTTCAAAATCCTAATTGTTGGTTTCTGGGAACAGGTTGCATAGTAAAAAAACACGCATTTTTCTTCCTTGCAGGGAGTTTGGGGCTGCATCTGGAGACTCCCTGGAGGAAATATTCAAGGAAGAACAGAATACACTGGAGCAATTAAAAATGTGCCTGCAGCAAGAGAAAGAGTCTCAAGTCCAGTACTTCCGGCAAGAGCTACAACGGGAACAGGAGGAGGAGATTCTGCGGCTCCGTCAGCAAAAAGAGGGTGCCCTCTGGTGAGGAGTTTCTCCACACTGCAGCTCGTCTCTCTGCAAAGGCAGAAGCTGCTTGGCAAGCTTCTACATGTTTAGGCTGCCCATAGTAGTCTACCCAGTTCTGTGCTCACCAGGACCTTCACCCGAAAGAGTGGTGGTCATGGAGTGGACACACAGACCGAGCTGTGAGGGGACACTGCCTTGAAACAGCCACATGTTCCTTTGGCTGAATTAAACCAGTGCATGAACCCCTATAAATCACAACGCTGTGCAGTGACCACGTATCTGCTTAACACCTTCAACCCTTGCAACAGCCCCCCTACTCTAAGGGAGAAGTTGAGGTGTGTTTATTTGTTCCAGGTTCAAAGAGAAGCCCAGCCAATAAGCAGTCGATGTATTAATTAAAACTTTTATTTAAAAATCTGATAACTATAGATATGATGAAATAAAATTATTAGATAGATGCACAGAACCTTTGCATACCCCATAGAAATTAATCCCATATCAGTATGCGTGTTGTTCCTATTCAACCTGAATTGATTTGAGGACAAAACGTTAAATTCATTAGCTGCTTACTCAGAATTTTTTACGAAAAGGAGAATGCAGCATTTGTCTGGGTTGCGCGAGAGACTCATGGGCTGTAGAGTGTGGCCAGCTTATATGGGGACAGTTACACGGACCAACGTATTGCAATGCCTGATTTTTACCAGTTAAGGTGGGGTATTCTCCTGAACATGCCATAGTGCTTTCCAACTAAATAGAAAACTTGTTCCTGAGATTTTCCTGGCCATAGAACCAGTTATTACCTTACCGTGGCTGTGAACAATAGACTTTTATAGGAAGTAACAAGTCAAATGTTTGCTTGTAATTCTACAGAAAGCAGTTAGAATACTGAGAATCAAAGTAAATCCAAGCTGCTTAGTATTGCAGTGGAGTACATAAACTACATAGCATATTTCATTTGTTTCATTTCATTTATTCAATTTATATCCCATTCGTTTCCCCACCAAGCAGGGCTCAGGGCAGCTTCCAGTGGTTAAATATACAATACGATCAAGATATCACAATTTAAAAATCCAAATATTACAGATTTAAAAACTGTCAAATGGCGCCCCAACAATCCATCACAGGTGGGCAACTAGGGAGGCAGAGAGAGATTCATGACCCAACAATAAATGAAAAAAGCCCTAGAAAAAAGGGCAAGAAAGGAGGGAAAGGAAGGAGGAGGAGGAGGGTAAGATCAAGACAGGAAGGAACAGGATAAGAGAAATAGGACAACCAGGGTGGAAGGTGGGGAAATGAAGAATAAGAAGGGGGTGCGGGAGAAAGAGGGAGACCGGCTGATCTCTCTAACGGTCACTATCCTCAACCATATACCTAGTGGAACAACTCGGTCCTACAGGACCTGCCGAACTGAACCAAGTCCCACAGGGCCCAAGTCTCACCAGACGGAGAGTTCCACCAGGTTGGAACCAGGGCCAAAAAGGCCCTGGTTGATCAACAGTAAATTCCATCACACTGGGGACTCGTGTCTGATGCTGTATTGAGCTTCAGAGTTCAGTGTGAGAGAGAAGGATATTACCGAATTGGAATTCATTAGCAGATGTAACATGGTGGACGTTGTTCTCAATATGTCCTAGAAAATCATATTCTCTCTTGGATCTTGCTGTGCTCATTTAGGGAGCCCTGCCGCCGCCAGCTGGCAGTGGTTCAGACTTGTCCTGATTGGATCTCATATTGGTTGTATTGGCTCTTGTGTTCTGTGTAACAGTACTGAGACACCCAATAGCTGGAATTTACAGCCTTAGTTTGTGTAAGAGATTATTTTATTCTTCCCTCAGTAGGTGCCACTTAGGTGAGAGTGCTGCAGGTCGCTGACGTTGTGTTTTCTGGCACTGGAAAGCTTATGCCACAATAACTTTGTTTGAGCTTTAGAGGGGATTTTGTTTGTTTTGTTGTTTGAGTTGCTGAAATGCTCTGAGCACCTTCCAAATGAAGCACAAGGTTAGGGACAGTTCCCTGCTTTCCCCTCTCCCTTCCTCCACCTCCAAGCTGAAAGGAAGGATTGGAGCGAAGGCCAAGCATGCGGCACTACCAGTGAAACGTAACAACATGGATGAACTCTGGAAGAGCACATGCGGCTGTCCCCCTGCCTGAGCTCGGGGCTCCCCAGGGGGAGGGAGGATGGCCACGATGGGGTGCACAGTGAACAAGGACGTCGGCCCTGGCTGTAGCCCTTGCCTGGGACCCAGGGCAGACCACTGTCTTGCTGGTAAGGCTGGAGACAGCGCGAGGTAGAAAAGAGCGCCGGCACTTTGCTTTTTTAAATGTTTCATAGACAGAAATTGGTGGAAGAATATGCTCCAGTAATCTAGAGTGTCAGGCTTTGCCAGCAGGTTGATGTGGATGGACAGCTGTGAAGTTGTTTTCCTGTTGACAGAGCCAATGCGATGCTGCTGTAAGAACGCTGGACTAGGATTGGGGAGGTGGTGGTGGTTCCGGTGGTCCCACACCCCCACTCCGCCAATCCCTTTTGCTCCACCTACTTCACAGGGGTTGCTGTGGAAGATGAAATGGAAGAGGAGAAGACCTTGTATGTTTTCCCTCTGAGGCGCAGGGCATCTTGGGTGATTCCCACCGTCCTACAAGGGAGGCAAGAACTAGAAACTCTTCCTCTTCCTGTAGTGTGGGAGTCGCTCATTTAGCCAGTTCTGTTCGTGCCTCAAAGGGAGAAGCAGCTTCTGGAGTCGGCTCTGCCTACCTAGACCCACTGTTTTCTTTTGCTTTCTATTTTGCCTTCCTCTTCCCTACCTTATACACTTATATTTCCTCAGCTTATTCTACCTCCATTGCTGACTTCCTATTCTCTAATATTTTGACACCTAAGAACATAAGAACATAAGAACATAAGAGATGCCAAGGTTGGATCAGGCCAAAGGCCCATCCAGTCCAACACTCTGTATCCCACAGTGGCCAGAAATACCAGTGCCATCAGGAGTTCCACCAGTGGGGCCAGGACATTAGAAGCCCTCCCACTGTTGACCCCCCCCCAAGCACCAAGATGACAGAGTATCACTTGCCCGAAAGGGAGAAAAGTACCTCTTTCTCTACCTGCTCTTTCCCATGCATAATCTTATAAACCTCAATCATGTCACCCCTCAGTCGTCGTTTCTCCAAGCTAAAGAGCCCTAAGCGCCTTAACCGTTCCTCATAGGGAAAGTGTTCCAACCCTTTTATCATTCGAGTTGCTCTTTTCTGCACTTTTTCCAAAGCTATAATATCCTTTTTAAGGTGTGGTGACCAGAATTGCACACAGTATTCCAGATGAGGTCGCACCATTGATTTATATAGCGGCATTATGATATTGGCTGATCTGTTTACAATACCCTTCCTAATAATCCCCAGCATAGCATTGGCCTTCTTTATTGCAGTCACACACTGTCTCGACATTTTCAGTGAGTTATCTACTACAACTCCAAGATCTCTCTCTTGATCTGTCTCTGCCAGTTCAGACCCCATCAACGTGTATTTATAGTTAGGATTTTTGGCTCCAATGTGCATCACCTTGCACTTGGCCACATTGAACCCCATTTGCCATGTTGACGCCCACTCGCCCAACTTTGACAGATCCCTTTGGAGTGCCTCACAATCCTCACTGGTTTTCACCACCCTGAACAACTTCGTATCATCCGCAAATTTAGCCACTTCACTGCTTACTCCCAACTCCAAATCATTAATGAACAAGTTAAAAAGCAGTGGACCAAGTACTGATCCCTGTGGTACCCCACTGCTTACACCCCTCCACTGGGAGAACTGCCCATTTATACTCACTCTCTGTTTTCTATTAATTAGCCAGTTTTTGATCCATAAAAGGACTTGTCCTTTTATCCCATGATTTTTGAGCTTGCTTAGGAGCCTTTGATGAGGAACTTTATCAAAAGCTTTCTGGAAGTCAAGGTAAACAATATCTATTGGATCCCCCTTGTCCACATGTTTGTTCACCCCCTCAAAGAACATTAACAGGTTAGTGAGACAAGATCTTCCCTTACAGAACCCATGTTGAGTCTGCCTCAATAGGTTTTGTTCATCTATGTGCCTACTAATTCTTTCCTTAATAATGGTTTCCACCAATTTACCCGGTATCGACGTCAGACTGACAGGCCTGTAATTTCCCGGATCTCCTCTGGAACCCTTTTTAAAGATGGGAGTGACATTAGCTACCTTCCAGTCCTCAGGAATGGAGGCTGATTTTAAGGAGAGATTACATATTTTTGTCAGGAGATCCACAAGTTCACAATTGAGTTCTTTCAGAACTCTTGGATGTATGCCATCTGGGCCTGGTGATTTATCAGTTTTTAAGTTGTTTATCAGTTTTAGGACCTCCTCTCTCGTCACCTCAATCTGACTCAGGTCTTTCAACACCCCTCCCGAACTCAGCGGCTCTGGAGTGGGCAAGCACCTCTCATCTTCCACAGTGAAGACGGAGGCAAAAAATGCATTTAGCTTCTCAGCCATTTCCCTATCATCCTTCAGTACTCCTTTTACCCCTTGGTCATCCAAGGGCCCCACTGCCTCCCTGGCTGGTTTCCTGTTTCTAATGTATTTGAAGAAAGTTTTATTGTTGGTCTTTACATTTTTTGCTATATGCTCCTCATATTCCCTTTTTGCATGCCTGACCACAGACTTGCATTTTATTTGCCATAGCCTGTGTTCTGTTTTATCAGCCTCACTGTGACTAGCTTTCCACCGCTTAAAGGAATCCTTTTTACCTTTTACAGCTTCCATTACTTTGTTTGTTAACCATGTAGGCTTTTTCTTATACCTGTTTGTGCCTTTCCTAACCTGCGGAATATATTTTATTTGAGCTTCTAGAATTGTAGTTTTAAACAGTTTCCAAGCTTCCCCAATGGTTTTGACCCTTTCTACTTTTCCCTTCAGTTTCCTCCCCACATGTCCCCTCATATCAGAAAAATTACCCCTTTTAAAGTTAAAAGTGGTTGTGTGAGTCTTTTTGGCCAATT